GTCTAGTCCAGTTGAAGTATATTTTTAGGATGTTTATACCGAAATTATTATCTATAAATCACTTCGCATTTGGAGGAAAATAAACTTGCTATTTGTGCCGCAAATATCCGACTAATTGGAATAAATTAGACCCACTGGTATAGTCGTATTTAGTATTTTTAAGTAAACGGCCAAAATACCTATTTTCGTATGTTGGTAGAGTTTCGAGACTACCAGTAAATCAGTAATATGAGATGTATTAACCATATTTCGTTTAAGGTGACGAAATACTGCTAGTAGAATTTTCCCACAATGATGAGTAGAACTGACGTTTCCATTGCATTTCACATAACCTTGCTTTCCCAAAAGTTGTTCTCATCCAGGGTGCCTGCAGTTTCGACTTCATAGGTATTATCAACACTCCCAGCAGGAGTCGATCCGTGACTGCAGAATGTGTGAATGGTTAACGTGCTAGGTCGAAACGGCAGTCCACCATGGATGAGAACAACTTTTTTGAAGGTAAGGCTGTGAAATTCTATGTAAACGTCAGCTCTACTCATAGCAAGATACCTATGCAGGATTTGCTGCTAAATGAAAAAAATATGAAAAAGTCAGTTTCTTGCCTCATTGAACTTGTTATTTAGTGTCCATTAAAAGTTATTTTAATTAAAGCTCACTTGCCTCATGCAAAGATCTATATGACTTTGCGTTTTAATTACTGCTTTATAAGAGAAATGTTTCATTTTAGGTCAATTTTAGCAGTAATTCTAGATGTTGAATTCATAGGACATCATTTCTTTCACCTTATATCCCCTTACATTTATATGTGGTTTAAATCACTTTTATATTTTAAGATGCCCGTGTTGGTGTTGGAGGTGTAAACAGCGTTGTTACGAATTGTGCTGTCGGCAGCATCGCCAGCTCAGGCTCTTTGGCACCTGGAGGGGGGGGAAACAGAAAGTCAAATGTTGTTAAAGAGATAGAACGCATACAGCAACGCCGCGAAGAACGCCGGGCAGCCCAGCGAGCTATTCGAGATCAGCCTGAATTTGACCCCTCAAATCCAAACTATGAATTCCTCATGATGATCAGGTTTGCTTTTCAAAGTTATAATTCGAGCTCTAATTGAATGATTTTTTTATATGTAATTTATGATTCCTTTTTAGTATTGTGTTTTG